ACATCATAGGGAAAGACCACAAACAGGGAAGAATGACTGTTGTTGTCCATGAGTCCAGTACCTATGACCTGCTTTGTGATCATCATAAAGAGTGTCTCATTTCATGCCTGCCAGAGTGTAGGTAAGAATGATTTCCAAACTCTTTTCTATTATTTTTTTGTATTTAAAAAATATTCATTTGTTCTAATCAGTTGTACACAACAGCAGAATGCTCTTTGATTCATTGTACACAAGGAGAGAATAATTTTTGACTTCTCTAGTTGTACCCAAAGTAGGGTCACACCTTTCATACAATCATGCATGTACTTATGGTAATGATGTCCATCTCATTCCACCATCTTTCCTACCCCCGTGCTTCCTTTCTCCCCTCCCATTTGGCCCATATAAAGTTCCTCCACTCATCCCATCGCCCCTCAGCCCCCCAATTTTGGATTAGTATCCATTTTTCAGAGAAAACACTTGGCATTTGGTTTTTTAGGTTTGGTTTACTTCACTTAGCATTATATTCTCCAACTCCGTCCATTTACCTGCAAATGCCATGATTATATTCTATTTTAATGCTGACTAATATACCATTGTGTGTGTGTGTGTGTGTGTGTGTGTGTGTGTGTATAATAGCATACTACAGGGACACAGCCACATCAATATTTATAGCAGCACAATTCACAATAGCTAAACTGTGGAACCAACCTAGATGCCCTTCAGTAGATGAATGGATAAAAAAATGTGGCATATATACAGAATAGAATATTACTCAGCAATAAAAGAGAATAAAATCATGGCATTTGCAGGTAAATGAATGGTGTTGGAGAAAATAATGCTAAGTGATGTTAGCCAATCCCCAAAAAACAAATTCTGAATGTTTTCTCTGACACAAGGTGAGTGACTTTAGTGGGGTAGGGAGGGGGAGCATTAGAAGAATAGAGGAACTCTAGATAGGGTAGAGGGGTGGGAGGGGAAGGGAGGGGGTAGCGAGGTAGCAATGGTGGAATGTGATAGACATCATTATCCAAAGTACATGTATGGAGACATGAATTAATGTGAACTTACTTTATATATAAACAGAGATATGAAAAATTTTTCTCTATATGTGTAATAAATATTGGAATGCATTCCACTGTCATGTATTTTAAAAATAAAATCAATTAAATATTTAAAAAGTCTCTAACTAAAAAAAACAAAAAAATTACAAATTGAAAATGATTATTCTCCTGTTTCAAAAAAACACCCCAAATCCATATGGTATTCAAAAGTATGAACCCAATTTTTTGATGGAGAAATCATGCTCTAAAATGTTAAGCATTCTTTCTAAGTTCTTACTCCTGGTAAAATATGAGGTGGGGATTCAAGTTTCATGTCAACTTATTCTGGCATGAGCTAAGTCAGCAGGCCATTTTACCTGTCTGGGCAGAATTTCCTAAGTTCATTAACTCTCTAGGCTCCAAGTTCATGGACTTTCATGTCTATCAGGCAAACTGTATTTTATATATGAAGAGTGAAGAGTGCTGATGCCTAGTGGTTCCTCCAGAATAGCATGCGAGAATAATTACTGCATTCTTCATCGTGCATAATTTTGTCTGTAGACTTTATACTTGATAGACATTTTGGCTGGGTATAAATTTGTTGGTGCACATACTTATATGAGTAGTTTTATAGCATTTCTCTCACTCTTTCCAGCACTGAATATTGGTGTTGTGACATATTCCATTATTCTGACAAAATTCTCTGGTCACTAAATGTCTATCAATTGGTGAATAGACAAAAAGGGTGTGGCACATATTAGAAATGGAATCTGTTCCGTCTGGAAAAGGCATGCAGTCTTATTATTTAAGGCCACATGGATGGACATTATAAGGAAACAAGCCAGCCACAGGAAAGCAAATGCTATCCTTGTAGTGGAATATAGAAAACAAACGTCGGAACAGCCGAATGCTGCTCTCCAGAGATCAGGGACGGTAGAGAGGAGACAAGGAGGGAGTTTTTTCAATGGATACAGTTTACAGGTGGTTGTAGGAGAATATTCTGGCACAGTGTCTCACTATGGCTAACAATCATGCATCATATATTTGAATTCCCTACAAGTTAGAAGTAAGGATTTTTAATTTAACTTTGTCCTTGTGGAAGCTTGAGGTACTCAGGATGCTTCAAGCTACATTGTTTTACTTGGATGTGAATCAGAATTGACTAGTCAGAGTAAATGTTTCCACTTACTGGTTTGCTTTGTAAATATGTCTGTTTTTCTTATTTTATGAATGTTCTCTTTATTAAAAACATTGAATCCATTTCTGGAAACTGCAATTATTCTAAGTCAGATCTTCTTTGCCTGTCTTCTGTTTATAATCCTTTTTTTTTTGGTACCAGGGAGTGAACTCAAGGGCACTCAACCACTGACCCACATCCAGAGCCTTATTTTGTATTTTATTTAGAGGCAGGGTCTCACTGAGTTGCTTCGCACCTTGTGGTTCCTGAGGCTGGCTTTGAACTCATGATCCTCCTGTCTCAGCCTCCCAATCCACTGAGATTATAGGTGTGTGACACTGTGTCCAGTTGTTTCTAATCATTTTAAAAAGGTTCTTTATATTTTCAAAGTTTTTTTCTTTCCTTCCATTACTATGTTTATATTCCTTCTTGAATTTGATGATTGTGATGTTGTTGGCATTTCTCTGAATTTCATCTTCATTTTTGATGATTTTTGTTGTTTTTACCTGTTTCTAACTTTAGTTGTCTAGGTTTCATAGTAATATCTTTCTGTTTAAAGAGTCAGAATTTGGAGAAATTGGGATATCGTTTGTTGTTTTTCTCACCAGTGAGATGCAAATTATTCAGTTTGGGGATAAATAAAGCCAGAGAGAATGGGGTGGGAGAGAGAATATAAGACTATAATATTTTTTGTAGGCAGCCCAAAGTACTGCCCTATCCATGTCACCCAGAAAAATATTTTGTTGCTTGTTTAATATTAGCTAAAATAAATGCCATGGGAGGCACTGCCATCAAATTGCATAAAAGAAGACATTCTGCATGGCGCTTCCTCTTAGTTCCTCATATTGGGAGACTGGGTATAGTAAATGGGTGTGTGTGGAGCCTGAATTAACAGTGAATGTTGCAATGAGAACCTCTGCTCACATCCTGGACCTCACAGGTGCAAGACAAACACAGAAAACTACACAAAGCTTAGATAATAATTAAAAACTTGGAAAGTTCTTAAAGAAGGAAAGTCACACTAATTGTAAACAGAACTGTCACTGAACCAGATTCATTTACTTCACAAACAGGCCATGATTTTGAGGCCACGTTCTTGGGGAAGGACAAAGATTTTGTTGGACAGCTAGGAAGCCAAAGAAGGTGGGAGGCTCTGACCAGCAAAGCCTCGACAGGGAGCCTAGTGTGCAGAAGGGCCAGACAGTGGGGGGGGGGGGAAGAAGGGGCAGGTGGGGAGTGGGCAGGAAGGACTGATGACTGGAGACTTCTAGGGCCACTCCCAAGGCCTGGATGGGACATTGTCTAGTTCACTTTGTCTTGCTGTATTCAGCCTTCATGGGAGGAGGTAATTTAGGTAAATTTAGGTGAAATTGACCTTGTATTTTAGTTCCCGATGAGCCACTTGAGAAACAATGAATATGTTTACCTGCAGAGTTGAACAGAAACCTGATTCAACGTTTTCAGGCATCAAAGAAGAGAGAGACTACCAGAAGCCCAAGAGGCAAGCTTCTCAATTCTTTCTTTTAGTTACCTATTTGACATCTGCAGGTCCCAATGAACAGTCTGGGCTTTTACTAAAATGGTCTTCAAGTGCCTTTAAAGAACCCTTAGAAGCCTTATCATCAAATCCTCATATAGGAGGTGTTTTCTACAGCAAGTTAGTGGGAGAAGAATACTATGTACCTCAGTTGTAGGATCTCCAAGTTAATGAATTTCACACTCAACTCAAAGCAGGCAGAGGTAGAGGAGTTTATTTGGATTTTACCTCTATGAAATGATTATTGGAGAAACATTTCATAACACCTGCAAGAGGCCAATGAATGGATACTCTAGTTCAGTACTTAATGTTCATCTTAGAAAATCTCATAGCTTTTTTTTTTTGGTCATGCTTGCCAAATAGTGAACCAGATTCATTTACTTAAATTCAAGTAAATATTCATTTACTTTAAATATGGAAAAATTGGTGAGGGGGAAACCCAGTGTCATTTACAGAAAAACAGGTTACTAAACTTTGTCCCAAGTTAGTTCAATTCTGAACTACTCTGTACATATCAGCTCTGATAAAACCATAGGTTAAATGCTGAGTAGAAATGAGAATCTATGAATATACCATACCATCCACCATTCATGTAAGGTTTAAAAGTTTCATACATACCACTTGTTATTTATGTTGTCAAGAAAACCAGAAATCAAATAATACTGTTGGAAATTATACTCTTGCAGATTATCATCATCATAAATTCTGCAGATACATGTAATAGAAAAGGAACCTTAATAACTGCTTCTACATTGTATTTCTTGTTTTAAAAATAAGTCATAGTTGTGGGTGATAGTCTTACTGTATGTTTTTAAGCTTCTTGGTATTTTAAATATTACTAAGTTTCTTTAAAGCTAGATAGTGATGAAGTGAATAGGGAAATCCCAGTAATTTTTAACAAGCAAGTGATAAGAGGTAAAAAATATATATAATCCAACTCTCCAGAAGGAAGAAGCAGATTTTTCACTTTTGGTCAGAGATTTATTGTTCCACATAGGAGTTGGGCTCATCTGAAAAAACTCTTTCATGCATGAAAATCTGTTTCAGTTCATGAACCCCCCTTTCTCTACCATGACCCTTCCCTTCTACAATTCTCCTTCTTCACTATTAGACTTTTTTTGCTCATCCATTAATTATATTTCATTGGTTCTTTGTGTTATTCTATCTACCCTCCATCTTTCCTGTAAGTATGGGTTTTATGTGAAGAACGCCCAGTCGTGTACACATCCCAGGACATTAGAAACAATGACCATAATCAGAATTTTTGGACATTACTCCCATGGGAACAGCTCTTTGGGGAAACCTGCCATCTTCTCCTGGTAAACTTTATCCAAGGCTTCAGCTTGGGCCACTGTGAGGTGATTCTTCCAGTCCCCACAGATGCCTGGAAAAGATGAAGTAGACGCAGATCAGATCTAGGGAGAGGTCTTAAGATGGTGACCTCCTCCCTGCTCTGTCAAGACAGCAGAGTGACCCCTGGGTCATTGGTGAGGCCTTCTCCTGCCTGGCCACCACACCTATTTACAAGTCTACCTGCTGGGAAAGTGTGTCCTGACTTCCCTCCCTTTTCAAAGCAACCTGTACCGAATGTATAATCAGCAATGCTGGGTATAAATCAGAAGATCTGGATCATAATTAATTCTGACCACTTCTTTCTTGAGAACTGTGACTCAATCTAACAATTTATGACTTGGGTGATGAGAGCAGGTCACACCTAGTCTCTCTGCCTTTGGCCAATCCCTGTGATCAGTTCTTCTGCACAAGGAACACATGTTGACCCCTTTCCAAATCCAGTGGCTCCAGTCCCTGGGGGCTCATAGTCTCCCAGGACATCCACTCTCCTTCAGCCAAGTTCCTTGGTGCTTTGAGGCTCTAGGTGTACATTTCTTCTTGGTTGGGACTACATCCCTGGGAATGGCCATTTGCTCTCTCGGCTCCATGACACAGTCTTCTGATTCACCTTCAGACATGCCAGGCTGCCCCCTCCTCAGGGTAGTTACCTTTCATGCCCCTTACCCCAGAGTGCTGTCTTGGAGACACATTCACCTCCAGTCCATTGGCCTCACTCAAATGTCAACTCCAATGCAGTGAATCAGTGGGGCTCTCAGTTCAGAGCCTTACATCACCATCCTTGTTCATAGCAATGATCAAACATGAGATTTTCTATGTACTTCCTTTTTGAATATACATACAGTATGTATTTCTAACATATTAGGAAATCAAAACTTTGTAAATTGCCTAAGATTTAGAGCTTTAGAGAATCACATAATATATGCTCAATAAATAATTGTTGAAAGGTTTAACAAAGAATGAGTAATATACTCGCATAATATCCCATTTTATAGGCAAGGATTTTTAAGAAGCCCTGGAGTTGTTACCACGTGAGAAAGTGGCTGAGGAAAAGGCTGCTAAATATATGGACATAACTCCTACACTTTACCTATGAGGTTACAGTATTGTGGATAATAAATCAATTTTCACATAGTAGGCCAATCTAATTAGTTAACATATTAATTAAATTATATATTAAATATAGAATAATAGTTACACTTATATATGTATGCATTGAACAATTCACTCATATGAATGTAAAGTAGCAGAATGTCTAATATGTAACTGTTATCCTATAACCATTCATCCTTCCTCCCATGTTCACTGATATCTTCATTATCTGAACAATCTTCATGTGGTTCCTTCTGCTGGGCAGGTGCTCTCTCTCTCAGCCCCATCCCCAGCCCAGTCCTGTTTTCTCTCTCTGTGCTCCAGAAGCACTGGTTGGCAGGAATCCTGACCTTCTGAATATCTTTTGAAGAAAGATGTGACTAAGAGGAATTTTGGTAAAACAGGTTCTGCGTGTACTCGAAGTAGACATTTTCAATAGACCTGAATCCAAGGGTGTAGTTACGATTCATCTCTCCTCACAGAAAGGAGGACTTACAGTGTCTCAAAGCAAATAACCCACTCCCTAATTTCTCCAATTTGGTCTTTCTTTGTGTATCTCTTTCTTTAGGGCAGTTCTCTATGGTAAGTCACCAGTGGAGTAGCCTAGGTATGACCATCTCCAAAACCCACCCTTCTCTCCAAGACTGAATCAACTTTCTCTGGTACCTGCAGTCCATCCCATGCCCATGAAAACTTTTTTTTCCATTAGGGCACACAAGAAGCTTTCTTGTTTATGAATGATTCAAGTTGATACCTTTCAACACTGTCACTCTTATTGTTGGGTGGTAAACACAGAATGCTCTCCAAGCATTCTCACACGTTCTGAAAACTGAGCAGTTACCTTTTCTTGTAAGTTTGAAATGCCTAGAAGAGAATTCTTCAGGCAATATTTCAAGATTGGACATCTTGTTTTGTTTCATGACTTGGAAGGAGCAATTCTTGAGGACTGAGTCCAGTTCCTCTGGATTTAACTTCTTTCCCAGGAACTGACAGATCTTCTCTATGGTGCTTCTTGGGTCCTACAATGTGAATAATAAAGAGTGATGCTCTGAACAGGAAGGACAGCAGACATGGGAAATGGGAACAGAAGTATAAGGAGGGGTGTAGGGGAGGAAGAGGAGAGGACTACATCTCAAAATGGGGAAAGACTGAAATGGATGCTGGATGGAGGGAGAAAAAGGGCAAGGCGCCAGCAGAGGGAGTGAAGGATGTGGTGACATGAGAATCAACAGGGGCTTCCCAGTGAGAGTGAGCTCAGGACACGCCAAAGGCAGGTGATGGGATTTCTAAAAAGACTCTTAAGAATGGAAGATAATTGCCATCTGACAGGAGTGAGATGAAATCTTAGAGTAGTTTTGATTTGCATTTCTCTAATTGCTAGAGACGTTGAACACTTTTCACATATTTTTTGATCAATTGTATTTATTCTTCTGTGAAGTGTCTACTCAGTTCCTTGGCCCATTTATTGATTGGGTTATTTGTTTTTGTGGTGTTAAGCATTTTGAGTTCTTTATATATCTTAGAGATTAAGGCTTTATTGGAGGTGGATGTGGTAAAAAATTTCTCTCAACCTGTGGGTTCTCTCCTCACTTTATGAACTGTTTCCTTTGCTGAGAAAAAGCTTTTTAATTTGATTCCATCTCACTTCTGTCAGAGTGGCAATCATCAAGAATACAGGCAATCATAAATGTTGTCGAGGATGTGGGGGAAACGGCACACTCATTCATTGCTGGTGGGAATGCAAATTGGTGCAACAACTATGGAGAGCAGTATGAGATTCCTTAGAAAATTGAGAATGGAATCACTATTTGACCCAGCTATCCCACTCCTTGGTTTATACCTAAAGGATTTAAAATCAACATACTACAGGGACACAGCCACATCAAAGTTTATAGCAGCTCAATTCAAAGTAGCTAGACTGTGGAACCAACCTCAATAGATGAATGGATATAGAAAATGTGGTATATATACTCAATGGAATATTGCTCAGCTTTAAAGAAGAGTAAAATTATGGAATTTGCCAATAAATGGTTGGAGTTGGAGAATATCATGCTAACGAAAGAAGCCAATCTCACAAAACCAAAGGCCAAATGTCTTCTCTTGTCCCGTCCGGCAGGACACATCAACGTGGGCAGCGAACCTAGATGGGGAGGAATGAAGGGACAAGAGACACGAAAGGTGACAGCAAGACAAAAGTTCTGATCAAGCTGCAAACTTTTATTGTTCACACAGGGGTATTTATATGCTGGGGATGGGGAAGCTCTCTTATCGGCAGTTGCTGGATGTCTGCACAAGGTGAGATAACCGCAGGATGTTTCAGGAAGATAGGTTTCAGGAAGATAGGTGGCCTCAGGATGTCTCAGGTGAGATAAGTAGCTGCAGGATGCCTCCCAGGCAGGATGTCTCCCAGGGGGCTGTCAGGCTAATCTTTGAAGGAGAATTTCCTTCTAGTCCCTGACATTCTCTAATATGTGAATGCTAATTCACAATAAGGCAGAGGGTACTAGGGAAGAATAGCTTTACCTTAGATTAGGTAGAGAAAAGTGATGGGAGGGGAGGGGTAGGGATGTGGAGATAGGAAAGATAGTAGAATGAAACAGACATTATTACTCTATGTATGTATGGGACTGCATGACCTATATGATTCTGCAACTTGTACACTCAGAAAAATGAGAAATTATATCTCTTCTCTGTATATCAAAGTGCATAAATGCATTCTACTGTCATGTGCAACTAATTACCACAGATAAAAAATTAAAAAAAAATGGAAGAAAAGGCAGGGAGACAAACCCCCAAAGACTAATCCTTACACCGAATGATAGTGCGTCCCGTAAATGACACTTGAATAATACATAGGACTTCATAATATCTTTCTAAACTTGAGCTCCATGATTATTGATGTATATTCCTGGGAGATCACACCAAGAAATAGATCTTTATAAGAAGAAAGGATTGCTTAGAATCCTAGACCTTCCTCTTCAGACTATAGTGTTTATTATCAGCTTTTTTTTACATGAGCCCCAGGCACTATATAGCAAGAAGACACACAACTGTGGCAATAATTTAAAAATGTGTTGTGTGATTTGAGTGGAGAATCACAGGGACGTGTGGGAGCTTGCTGCTGAGGTGGCTGAAGGTGGCATCAAGGTCCTTGGTGAGAACACAGCAGGACAGGAAGCAGCTGCAGGAAGGTGACCAAAGTCCTTTCACCAGGGGAAGCAGAAGCCTGTCCCTGTGGCATCTTCTCTGTCCCCAAGACAATCTCAAAGGCAAAATGTTTCCTAAAGGTCTGTTCACTCTTTTGCTTTTTCTGATATTGTTTCCAATTCTAATAAAGTCTAAAAATTTTAAAGTTTTCAATTACTTCTGGACCTATGAAACTCACAAAGGGATCTGTGCATCTTTGTGCAGTTCAGTGTGGCATTTTTGTGCTCAACAGAAAAATAAGGTTAGAATAAGTACCTATTCAATATGTGACAATCCAGTCTGTACAAGTGGCACATCTATAAACTCAGACATGAATCCTTTATTTAGTTGGGAACATTCAAAACCCTCTCCATTTGCTAATTATAAATGTATAATTACTGTTCTATACAGTTGCCACGCTGTGCTACAGGTCATTAGCAGTCATTGCTGTTACCCAGCTGTACCCTGCACCCACCCACCAGTGCTGAGCATCATCTGCAGGCCTTTTCTGTTACTCCAGCCCCTGACCTCTCAGAATAGATTCACAAAGTGACATTTCCCCCTCGTGTCACTGCATCAGTCATGGGGAGAATACAGAGAGGTGGACACAACTCTGGGATCAATGTTTTCTGGCCAATCCCTTCTCATCACTAGGTTTCTGTCCACATCATAGGTCCTGCACCCAGAAACCTTGGCAGCCACAGATGCTAGCATAAGCCATGTCACTCTGCCTCAGTGTGTGGAAGGGTCCTTTAGATGTTGTCAAATGAAATAAATTTGAAGACATGAAGAAAAAGCTTGGACCAATCTGTCAAAACCAAATGCCAAAAGTTTTCTCTGATTTAAAGGTGCTGCTTCATAATATGGTTCGGGTGGGGCAATGGGAGGATTAGATAAACTCTAGACGGGCAAAGGGGAGGGAGGGAATGCAGGGGCATGGGGGTAGGAAAAATGGTGGAATGAGATGGAGCTCGTTACCATAGTACATGTATACAGACACAAATGGTGTGACTCTACTTTGTGTACAACCAGAGATACAAAAAATTGTGCTCCATGTGTGTAATGTGAATTGTAATTCATTCTGCTGTCATATATAACAAATAAAAAAAAAAGATCTTGGAGCTTGGAGAGGGTCACGCAGAAGCAGGGAAGTGGAGACCAAGGGTTCATCTACTCTTAGTGACCTCTGAGAGTCTATGCTTTGGCAGGGAATATGGAGTGGAGACCCTGAGGACCAGGGGCATTAGAGGAATCAAGGATGGCCAGGAATTGGTGGGTGCTGAGTATGAGAGGGATCTCACCTTCTGCAGCTCTTCATAACTCAGCAGCAGGACGTTCTCCCTGTCTCTCATGGACATCCAGCCACGAATGTGCTCGAACCATGATCCATAGGACACTGTGGGGCAGGCACAGGTGTGCAGGTTACATACTAGCACAACAGGTGCTTTGCCATCCCTGTCACTCTAAATCCTGACATCTTGATACATGTATAGTTGATAAGTGCTCCTCAAACTAGGTACTGAAGTAGAGAGGGGGACCATTCCTGAACTCATTCTATGGAACTAGTATCATACTGATACCCAACCCAGACAAAAACACACCAAATAAGAAAACAACAGACCAATATTTCTGATGAACAACAGATACAGAAAACCTTATTAAATCTGCTTGAATCAAATGTATGAAATATGATATGTCAAGAGCTTTGTAATGTTTTGAACAACTAATAATAAAAAAATAAAATAAATAAAATATCAGTAAAGGCTATTCAACATTAAGATTATACACAGGATATATTGTGTTCACACTTTAAGATTATACACATAGTATGTTGATTTTATTCCTGGGATGCAAGTTTGGTCAACACATGCAAATCCATAAATGAATTTCACCACATCAATAGAATTTTCCTTGACAGAGGAACATGGCTGAGCATCATAAAGGCTATGTGTGCTAAATATATAATTGGGTTTTTGTGACAAACCCAAAAGCCAACATTATGCTAAATGGAGAAAATCTTGAAACATTTGTCCTAAAATTAGGAAGAAGGAAACTATGTCCACTCTCACCATTCCCATTCAATAGAGTTCTTGAAAATCTAGCTAGCGAAGTCAGACAAGAGAATCAAAAAATCACAAGTAGGAAGGAAAGAAGCCAAAGTATCATCTTTTGCAGATTGTATGATGCGGCCTGAATTCCCAAAACACTTATAAACTGGTACCCAAGTTCAGCCCATAAAAATTAAGAACCTTTCTTCATAATAACAATGAATCTGCTGAGAAGCAAATCAGATATTCAATTCTAATCACAATGGTCTCAAAAAATACCTACGTAGCCAGTTGTGGGTACATGCCTGTAATCTGAGCAGTTTAGGAGGATGGCGCAGGAGGATCATGAGTTCAAAGCCAGCCTGAGCAACTTAGCAAGATCCTAAGCAACTCAGTGAGACCCTGTCTCTACAAAAAATATAAAAAAGGTTGGGGATATGGCTCAGTGGTTAAGCAACTCTCAGTTAAATACCTGGTACCAAAACAAACAAACAAAAAAACCCCCACAAAAAACAAAAACCAAAACAAATACCCTTAGGTATAATATCCCCAAAAGGAGAAAGACCTCTGACAATGAAAATTGTAGAACACTGAAGAAAGAAATTGAAGAAGACAGTTTAAGGTGAAAGGCCCTCCCATATTCTTGTGTACCCAGAAACAAAAATGCCACATTACCAAAAGAAATCTACAAAATCATACATAGATGGAATATGATTTCTCATTTTTCCAAGTGTACATATTGTAAAATCACATTGGTCATGCAGTCATATATATATATATATATAGTAATAATGTCTGTTTCATTCTACTGTCCTTCCTATCCCCACACCCCCTCCCCTCCCAACCCTTCACTTCCCTCTATCTAATTTAAGGAAACTCTTTTCTCTAGTGTTCCCCCTTATTGTGAATTAGTATCCACATATTAGAAAAAAATTCAACTTTTGATTTATTAGGATTGGCTTATTTCGCTTAGTATAATATGCATTATAATGTCATGTATAACTAATTAAAACAAATAAAAAACTAAAAAACCTAGCATGCTGATAAGCAAGTTGGAATATAATGAAACAATACAGGCCTGTATCAAAAATGCACAAGACTTCAAATGAAATGTTTATTGCACGTAGAATTAAAGTACTTAGTATGGAAAATACCAGGGCCAGCCCTGCTCACAATTTAGCCAAATTGCAGAAATTCTTAAATGTGTTGAGGCCAAAATACAATGATATTTAGTTTTCAGTTACAGGAAAAATTTATTTGTGACTTTCATTCCTCAAGTGAGAGATCAGCTATAGTAATAGAAGTTTATTTATGACCAATGTTTAGAATTTCTAGGTTAGGTGACTTGGCTGTTCTTTGAGGAAGACATTTAAAATTTTGGTTAACTCGTGAGCATTAAAATGTTGGGGGCAAATCATTTGTAAATCTCTGCAAAGTGTGTTGAAATAGTTAATAAATCTTGGAGGAATGAATAAAAAGCATCTCAAGAAACAATGCAATCCCCATCAAATAGCAATGACATTCTTCACAGAAAAAGAAGAAACAGTCCCCAAATTTTTATGACAAATAAAACCTAAAGCCATTCTGAGCAATATGAACAATGGATGAAGGGCTGGGGATGTGGCTAGTGACAGAGCACTGGAGTAGGGTGTGCCAGGCCCTGGGTCTAATCCCCAATACACACACAATACACAAAGGATAATGCTGGGCTGGGGCTGGGGCTCAGAGGTAGAGCCTTACATGTGTGGGGGAGGCACCGGGTTTGATCCTCAACACCACATAAAATAAATAAATAAATAAATAAATAAAGATGTTGTGTCCATCTACAACTAAAAAGAAATAAAAAAGAGTAATGCTGAAATTATCACATTTCCCAGTGTCAAATCATACTAAAGAGGTAAAGTAACAAAAAATTGTGCTGATATCAAAACAGGCATAGATTAATTGATTACAATAGAAGACACAGAGAAACACTCACAAAGAGACAGCTGATCCTTAACAAAGACACCAAAAGGAAATATTGGAGAAAACACAGCATGTTTAATAAATGGTGCTTGGAAAAGTGAAGAATGAAGCGAAATTCTGCACAAATATCAACTCAAAGTGGACAAACAACATAGGAATTAAACCATAAACACTGTGACTACTAGTAGAAATCATAGCGCCTACCCTCCACCATATAGATTCAGGCATGACTTCCTCCATAAGACTCCTGTTGCTCAGGAAACAAAACCAAGAGTTGATAAATAGAATGGCTTCCAGTTAAAAACCTTCTGCACAGCAAATGAAATGAAACAGAGAGAGAGGGCTTACAGAACGGGAGAAAATCCTTGCCAGCTACTCTTCTGACAGAGGATTAACATCTAGAATATATAAAGAACTCAAAAATCTTAACACCAATAACCTCATAGCCCAATCAATAGATGGTTGAATGAACAATCATTTCTCAAAAGGAGAAATACAATGGACAACAATTTTATGAAAAAAATTTCAACATTTTTAAAAACATGAGAAAAGCAAATCTAAGCTGCACTGAGATTGCATCTCACTCCAGTTAGAATGGCAATCATCAAGAACATACAAAATGATAAATGCTGGCAGGGATGTGAGGGAAAAAGAACACCTACACACTACTGGGATTGGAAATTAGTACAACCATCATGGAAATCAGTATGGAGATTCTTCAAAAGACTAGGAACAGAACCACCATATGACCCAGTCATAGACTCCTTGGTATTTACACAAAAGAATTAAAGTCAGCACACTATAGCAATACAGCACACCCATGTTGATGCCAGCACAAAAGTTAAGTTATGAAACCAGCCTGGTGTCCACTGACCGATGCATGAATAAAAAGAATGTGGTACATACACAAGATGGAGTTTTAGTTATACAGAAGAACTCTATTATGTTATCTTCAGGAAAATAGAACTGGAGATCAGCATGCAGATTGTAACAAGCCAGACTCACAAAGTCAAGGTTGTCTGTTTTCTCTCATGAGTGGAACATATGCAGAAGAAGAATAAAATAGGGATACCACAAAATAAAAGAAAGACCAGCAAAGTAGAGGACACAGATCTGTGCCGCAGTCTGGCTGGGCTGATGGATCTGTATGTCACAGAACACTCACCGTTTCCTTGGATGAACCATTGAAAAATATTGTTCCAGTGACTCTGGTTTCTTAGAAATGTTTGTCATAGTATAAAAATAATAACCTGACACAAGAATATCTTTGGGATTTCTCATGATATATATCACCTTAAATAAAGGAAAAATGACAGAATGAAAAATCAGTCTCAATCACACATTTTCCACCCATTCTTGATCTTTACCCCAGCAGTTTTTACTTAATCACTGTTAAACATCAATGAATTCCTTTAATGAATTAGTTATAGCATTCATTCATCAAATACAGATTTTAAAGTTCCTATTACATATTCATGTGCTAGGAATAGAAGAGGAAGACCTTGTCTCTTCTTCCTGGGTTATTAGTCTACTCCACATGGGAAGCTGCTGGATAGTTTTAGATGGTAGGTGTTGAGGTGTGTGTGTGTGCTTTACCATAATGATCACTAATAGCAGAACTGATTAATCAATTATGGTATATTCAGATTCATAGCAACACACAGTCATTCTCACACTCAAGACCACTGAGGAGTCTCCCAGATATGGCATCCATACAGCATGAATGCATTTATACAAAATTCAGGAATAAACAAAAGCAATCTGTAGCAATAGTCCAGGGAGTGTTCCCCTCAGGTGGTGGGCATCAATTGATAAGATGGAATCTGTGGGGACTTTCTGGATGGTAGAAATGTTATACATCTGGTCTAGATGAAGGTTCCCAACTGTGTATGTCTTTATGTGCATATTAAGAGGCTAGTGTTCAAGATTAGTGAACACACACACGTGCACACACACCACTTGGGGCTTGAACAACAGAAATTGGCTTTATTTGCCCCAACTCTCTTGGTGTTATTATTGGAGGTCTTGTGTCTCCTTAGACCCCAGTTTAATCAGGCAGGGGTTAATGAAACACAGCAGGAGAATGGAAGTGGGTCTACTGGGGAAGACTCACTGTTAGACAATTTATGACATTTCCAAGACAGGAGATTATTATTCTAGGTTTCTTGGTGTTGTTTAAACAAAAACAAAAATTTCAGAAAGCAACAAACACTTTAAGAAAGCATGTTTCTAAAATTAGTCTGTTGCATGTTAGATCTTGGATATCCATGGTCTGTGCTGACCATCTGTCAGCCATGGGGAGGTTGGAGTGGCTGATGATCACAAATCACAGTGACCTGCAGTGGGCTTCCATGGTTAGAATTGCTAGTCGTGACTCCTGAGAAGTCCCCTGGATTTATGCCTTTCTTAATGTATGCGTGCTTTGCTCCCCATATGGGCAACACTGACTTAGATGCTTGCACCTACCTGTTAGGAGGCTTTTATTGAATGAATATTGGGTAAGACCTGCAAAATTGGGATAGTCTATTGTAGAAGCAATTATAAATTCTGGTTGCACATGAGATGTAGTTTCCTAAGATTCTAGCAGTCACTTTACCCCTTAATTCATGGTAAGCTAATCCATGGAATCATTCACATCCTTGTACTCAAGTGTGGTCTGGTTGCGGCCACATCAACCTCACCTAATTTCCGAGAATCGCAGGTCTCACCCAACCTATCCAATGAGCACACACCCCAGCAAGATCAGCAGGGGTTATCTAGGCACATGGAAGGGCAAAAGTCATTGATCAAACATTAGGCACTGACCTTGGCCTTGGAAGTGAATAAAGACTTGGGGAAGAGATGGAAGGGGAGGTGAGAGGCCAGGAGCCGTGGGCCCTCTCTCTCCTTTAACAATTTGTATCCCCCATCTGACTCTAACCAGGGTGCCCGTTCCCAGATGGGCACAGATTGAATCCACTTGGTATCACCTTTGGAGTGAATCAGGCAGAGAATTTCAACCAACCAGTGGGTTCCTAGATGAGAAAGGAAAATGGTGATCACTCATTTCAATCTGAATTGTGACATAAAAAATATATTGTGATAAAATACATAACATAACTTTACCATCATACGCATTTTAAGCATGCAGTTGTGTAGGGCTGAGCAGTGTTAAGTACATTCCTACTGTTGCTCAGCCAATGTCCAGAACCTTTTCATCTTGAAAATCTGAAACTTTACTTATTAAGAACAAGTCTTACTTATTCCATCTTTCAGGCCCTGGAATCCAAAATGGGGCTTTCTCTTTCTATGAACTTGACTACTCTAGGTATTTTGCACTGGTGGAAGAATATAGTATTTGTCCTTTTGTGTTAAACTATTGCATCCAGTATGATGCCCTCAATATTGGTGGATGTTGTAGAAGGTGTCAGGATTTCCTTCCTTCTAAGGCTGAATCATATTCCATTGTATCACCATGCCACATTTTGTTTATGTATTCACCTGTCAACAGATTTTTGGTTGCTTCCACCTCTTGGCTCTTTGCTGTGATCCTTTCAATATGCTCCCACTTCCCTTAACTCTCCAGTGCTGTTCCACTTCCAATGAGATTGGCCTGAATCTTTGCCCAGCTTGCAATTTTCCTGCCCCCAGTCCCACTCCCGTAGATGCATGATGCGTGTCCTTTCAGTCCCTTCAATTTTCCAGGCTTGTTTCTGATTCCCAGCCATTGTCCATGCTGACTCTCCTATTCTAAAATATTCCTTTCATCACCTGACCTCCCATTCAGTCTTTTCATCTCTGTTGAGCTGCTATTTTGCTATTATGGTTTCTCCGTTCAACCTCTTACACCCCTTCTCCCATGCCACCACACAAATATCTGAATCTGCTTAGGATTCACTGCTGTATCTTATTCCTCCAAGACCTTAGATGATCCTTGCTGAGCACTTAAGTCACTCTGCACTAGTATGAATGGAAGTGGCCTGGGGCAGTGCCCCTTCCTCTACCAAGCAGGGCTCCATGGCATGGAGAGCCCATTCCATCCTCTGCTGAGTGAGTGAGGAATGCAGCCCTCACCTTTCTCATGGGGGGTTCCTGTTCTGTTTTCTTACCTGACTTTGGGAAAGACACCATTACTGTATCTTCATCCTTTATCACAAACTGAGCACACACTTCTTTTATAACTTCATAGCTGAAACCAAGAACATGGAAAGGTAACCCTTCAAACCACAAGTAGTCATCTGTCATGGTGATGAGCTATCTGTGCGTGGTGCAGAGGTTCCAGCTGTAGCCACCA